TTTTGGTAAATTTGTGAGGTCAATAAAGTTCAATTATTATTATCATAGTTCTGATGTTAAATAATGGAAATGAGTAGCTACAAATCTAAGCTAATCATAAATGTAGTTAAACCACAAGTTTGATTATATACTGGGTGGAAGTAAAAACAAGGCTGTATGTGTCAGTTTACTCAAAGAAATGTGAGACTTTTAAAGCATCACTTTAATTATCTTGTTTCTGATTATGGTAGTAATTTCAGTATATACTACATGTACATGTTTCTAAATTTTAGTCAAAATGATCGGTTGGAGATGAGTGTGGTAATGAATGGTTACTATATATCAAATGTTTGTCCAAAAATAACTCAGAAATTACATGCGTCACCTTGCCACTCAAGAAAAGCATACTCTTTCCGCACCAAAATACCTTCTAAAAAAAAAAAAAACAACCTTCTCCATGTTTATAGAAAAAATGAAAGCTTATTCACAGCGTGGCTATGCACATGCATTATTTTTGGATCACGAGGGCAGAGCAAACCCACTCCCTGTCAAGTGTTACGTTTTGTTCATCTGCCAAAGTAAAGGTTGGACAAGGAGGTACATAGTCATTACCACTGGCAACGGTAAGTTCTCACTTCACTTCTGACTGTATCACCTCCATCTGATTCCCATCCATCTATACAATGGCCTTAGACAGCCCCAAGAACATGAACAAAAAGGTATAAAGAATTATTTAAAAGTAAACATGTCGCACATATTAAGAGGAAATTCACTGGCACATCCATACTCTGTCAGCTCACCTCTCTCTCTCTCTGGTATAGATGGCTTCTTTGAGACAGTCTGCCAGTCTGCTGCCATGCAGCACCACATTTAGCTCTGCATCAAGCCCCAGACTGCAGCGAAGCAGAGCACAGTGAGAAGGTTATTAATGGCCTTCTTTATTTCAAATGACAGTTTAAAAACACTGGTGGCACCACGCAGACCCCGCTTGCTACAAGCTTGTCTTTCATCCCATCTGTCTTCACTCCCCTCACCCTCCTTGGTCCTAATGGCCCAGTGGCTCTCGCTCTGTCACTTTTACTCCTAATGCATCCTTGTCTGATTGGTAAGCACCAGTTGAGGGGCTTGTTGGCTTAAGGGGAGAGCATGAAATAATATTTTAATAACACCCATGAGTTGCACCTCTTCTTTAATTATTTTCTCTTTATATTTCAAATTATCTTTAACTGTGTCTCCAATCATTTAAGCAGATAAAGTCAACGTGTAGTCTTTCCTCTAATCTTTAAGTTATCTCTTCTGAACCCTGTTGGTGTTCATTTTTCAGAGCCTCACACCACATTTCTCCTCACCATGCTGTAAGTTTTGACACCTGTTTGATGTATGCCTCTCTTTACTTTTGGGTGTGCAGGTAGGGCCCATCAGTGTCTCCCTATCAGAAGCCAAGTTATTCCGTGGAATAAAAAAAATGTATCTATGTGCAAACATTATTGTAAGAATCTTTTAAATTAAGTTCCTTCATTTTGTGTACATTCAATTTCAAGCATTATTTATTGATGTTATATTTTTATTGAATGAAACTGGTCTTAATTCCATAAGATTTAGAAAATACCTCTAGTTTGGAGTTAAATCTGGATGTTAAAAATAAATGTTTAGAGTGAGCAAACTCTTGCTAAGGTTTCTATTTATTGTCACAAACTTCCATTCCATGATGCAGCAAGATATTTCTCTTATACCGCAAAGCAAAATCTGTGGAGTGCTAATAACTTTTTTCTTGGTTGGCGTAGATTTCGGAACTGTTTTACAGTTTTTATTGATTGCTTAATGTAGCAGTCAAGTCAAACTCCACATCTTTCAAAGCAGTTAGCACAGAGGTCTAAACTGCTGTACTCAGACTGAACGTGACACATTTTGTTTGCAAAAGGCTCTAACCGAGCCAAAACATTTAGAAAATGAAGCAAAAGCAAATATTACCTTCAGACAACATAACCTGCAACCAAATGTATGAGGTCTTCCAATCAGTCATTACTACTTTTGCATTTTTCAAAAAACTATAATACTGCAAATATTACTGCAAGTACTGCAAATACCATAAATGTAAATCAAAACATACAAAGTAAGAAATTACAAAAATAAAATAACATTTATCATGGTGAAAAAATCACCCTAACTATTCATAGTCAGTTTTCTCTGTCTTAAAAATGGGGCCACATGTTTTTATCCACATCACATATAATATCCTCTCTTGCAATGACCCAAGAGGAAAATCTTCTTGCATGCCTTTTCCAACGTTAACCTTTTACTGCACCTGTTTCTTACGCATGAGCAGTTATTGCATTCAGAAAGGGCATCATAAACCTTCAACCTCAAACACTGAATAAGTGCTCTATGTGATTCAAGAAGGGTGAATGTGCAGGAAGGATACAATGTTTTGATGGTGGAACGCGGCATTATTCTGGATAAGGACAAAGATAGATGGGCATGTCAGGTCCCATCATGCCTCTCCCCTCAGTTGGCATCAGCCCTCCATGGAGCATTTGGGAATGTTATGTGACTTTTAGTGTTGTGTGGTCAAGTAATGGGGATATGGTATAGCCCCTGTGTCCAATAAGGTTACTTTCATGTATTCTCCCTTTAAATTGGCCTGACATAAATTGGTTCATAATGTTCCCCTTCAACTTTAAGCTGTATTATTGTCTATGTAAACACACATGCTATTACAGGTGACTTAATTCGACTGTCATGATCTGACCAGATATTATAGTAAAGTAATGTTTTTACACCTCCATACATTGGCTTTTGACCACCTTCATAATATGACATTGTTTGCTACAACCATATAAATAATGACTGCTTCCTGCTTAGCACAGTGGATTTTTTCTAAACTACCAAAGAATCGAAGCCTTTAGATTCTATAAAGAATGGATATAAGGAGAATCATTATCAGTTAAAATGTGGAGAATGAGGGTGATGGCGATATTTTCAGTTTGAGCTTCAAAAGTTGAGTCTACAGTAGAAGCCATTCAAAATTTCCCTACTTTCCTTGATGGGCCCGTGGCTGGTCTTTGGCTGGTCCCCTTTATTTCCTTTTTGAACATCAATCTTTATACTAAAATATTCTTTCTGTCATGATTTGTGGACATTAAGATCTAAAGAGAAGCGTCATCTCCTCGTCAGACCCTGTAATTCAGTAATAGGGTAGAGTCAAAGTAATAAAAATATTGAAGAAGGGGTCACTCCAGTGGCTGGAAGTTAGAGGGGATTTCGCTGGGAGTTGGAGGGAAGTGGGCTGCCATTCGGCTGCCATTCGGCTGGGAAGGGCCATTTTGAATGGCTGCTACTTTATATCATACAACAACCATGCAACTAACCAGGGTTAAAATTACTAAGACAGAGCATACCTAATAATCTATATTGCAACTGAACAGGAAATGCTTGGGTTTTGCAGCACGGAAAAATATAATAATTGTTGCTGACAATTTTATTGTCTTCCTAATAAATAAGCTTTTATAAGAAAGCAATAATAATATTTTAAGAGCAGATCTTCTGATTTATGAGGCATTTAAGTTACAGTGCTAAGAGTAGATGTGAGAACCAATATACTATTTTATCAGGACAAGCCCCAACTGAAATATTTAATTCATAGTTAGAAAAGTAAACACTCAGTGCACGCTCAATGTATTGTAAACAGGCTCTCCCCTCGAACAATACAGATGTGGTATAAAATGGCATCCATAATGGCCGCTTTACCTATCTCGTTAAGTGATGATGAAATTTATTGACATTAGATCACCCCATTAAATCCATAAATCCTTCAATACTGTTTTCTCAATCATAATGAGAATTAGGAGATTAAAAAGTAAAATACATTGAACATTGTTTTAGTGAAGGAGGCCACAGAGACAAACTTTTTTTAAAATCAAATGGAAGACAGAGAAAGTGAAACATGTACTTTTGACGGGGATCTTATCAAAGAATGTTCAGCATTAATACACAGGGAATTAGGCCAAAATATTTATAGGGAGAGGATTCTATAACTCAGTTGACTGCATATGAGATTTATTTGTTTTTGGTTTGCTTAATATGAGCAACGTGCAGTCATTTATTTTTACAGTACATGAAGAACTACTGAAATTACATTCAGACTACACATGAATAGATTCATTAATTCCATGGGGAGAAAAAAATTACCTTAGGGTTAGGATTTACTTGGTGATAAGCTACTGAGCCAACTGGCACAATATGAAGCCATTGTATGGGACTGAGTAGCCACTTAAAAATGTATGGAACATCCAGGTATTCATCTGTCCTAAACATCTATCCAACACTCTGATGGGTTCATAATCACCTGGTGAGATTGTGATGTAAGGCCGTGTGTCATCTGCATAGTTATGGTAACTGATTATGTTTTGGTTGGCTATTTTCTGAGCTAAGCATGTAGATGTTGAATAGGAGGGGCCCCAGAATGGAGCTTTAAGGAATCCCTCCATATGATTTTTCTAGTCTCAGATTTAAAGTTCCCTACATACATATAAAAGCCCCTATCCTTCAGGTAGTATTTAAATCAGTCCAGTGCAGTACCAGAAAGGCCAATCCAGTTTTCCAGATGCTCTAATGAAATCAGGTGATTAAAAGTGTCAAACGCTGCTTTAGGTCTAATAATACCAGCACCGTGGTTTTTCCACAGTCTTTATTTGAATGTCAATGAACATCTTAATCAGGGCAGTCTCTGTAATGTGGTTGGCAAAGAAACCTGACTGGAAGACATCATAGTAGCTTGTCATTGTTAGGAACGCATTTTAACTGTTACAACAGAACTTTTTCAATAATCTTACTGACGAAGAGAAGGTTTGAAACGGGCCTGTATTACAGTAGGACCAATCATTAGGCCATTCAGAGCTTCATACTTATCTAAAATGAGATTATCTAATTAAACATTAACTCTAAAGATAGACAAAATAAAAGATTTAAAGATATGACAAAGACTTAATAATATTCTATCTTTTTATTTCAAATTTTGACCTCTTTCTTCCTCCAGAGGAAAGAAATGTGTACAATGTGGTCTATGTAATATGATAGAAAACAGTACAATTATTCAACTCAATTCAGTTTATTTATATAGCCCCAACTCACGACACATGTTATCTCAAGGTACTTTACAGAGACAATTCAACCAGATCATACAGTCAAATCGATTCAAAGTTTTCTATATAAGGAAAACCAGTTGATTACATTGACTCATGGCAATCCCTCACACCATCTTTATCAGACCGCTATACAGCTTAAACCTTCAAAAATTGTTGCATGCTATTATTTCTGATTACATTTACATTCCGGTCAGGGAAAATGAAAAAAAAGATATTTCGGCAAGTGATAGACCACTCAGCAGTTTGGGTGCACTTCCTGACCTGCAGGGAGCTGTAGCTCTATTTTCATTATTGGAAAGAGAAGAAAAAAAAACAACAACAAAAAACAGGTGAAATAACACAAAAACACATTGAGCAGCATCCTGTACAATTTATATAGACACAGCATAACACGTATAAAACTAATGCATACAATTTTCCCAGTTATTATAAAAGTACAAAATGAAGATAGACCTTCCAAAGCACCAACAAAAATGTGTAATAGGTTATTCAATAAAAATTAGATTTCTCTGGTATGTGCCCTTATGATTTAATTTTTTTATTCATATTTATACAGTATACTGTACTTAATAAAAAAAAAAAAGGCAAGGCAAAAACTATTTACAAGTATTTACAGAAATTCTAAGCTATATTCACAGAGATGAGTCCCTTTAAGTTTTTCCTCCTGGGTTTGCATTATCACGGTGATGACCTCTAACCCCTGAAGTATGGGAGAGCCCAAAAGATTTCAGTCACTGTATTTTACAGCATGGCTTGATTTATGTCCCTTCAATAACCTCAAGTGCCTCGTATGATTATGTTAAACCATCTTCTTTGTTGCTCAGATCACAGCGAAGACTCGGAACGCCTTCCCTCCAGGAGGGTTTTGAAGGCTGCAGGGAGGAACAAGAAAAGAAGTCAAACTGGGTGCTGTGTTTGCTCTAAAACATATGGCATATGACAGAAACATAAAGGCAAAGCTTGTACGGCACTGTGAGTGTCTAAAACTATCATGACAGGGGGGCCAAAGGAAGATAGCTCAGCAAGAAAGAGCTCACCAGCCACACACATGTTTAATTGCTGCCAGACCATTAAAAAAGGTATAAAATACTGGGTATGTCCTGATATATGTCCTTTATACTGTTATTAGAAATCAGTCCAATATCAGAGTTATTTTAATATATCGGCCGGAAACAAAAACTTCAATATCAACAAACTGATAGATACTCTCTCTTGTTTAAAGAAGATGTAACCCATTGGTAAATATTAAAGGGGTCAGTTTTTCTTAGTTTTTCACTCTTGTTTTCTGTTTGAGGAATAAAGTTGATCTGGGGTCCGTTTCATGAAGCAGGTTTACTGAAAACTCCAAGTTTTCTAAACCTGAAATATGGGAGCTCTAAATTTTCCATTTTACAAAGAGAGTTACTCTTAGTCTAGGATTAGGGATTCACTCAGTGATAACAACATACTGAGCATACTGGTGCAATCTGAAACCATTCTATGCGACTTATTTATTAGGAAGATAACATCCAAAGTGGTTGCAAGCCTCTCTGTAATGGAAGACAGAATCAAACTGAGAACCCATGAAATGAGGAACAGGTTCAATCTATTAGAACGATCTTTTTATAATTCATTTTCACCTGCTGTCAGATGATTTCACCTAAATTGATCCACAACCATTCAAGAAATAACCTGTAATGTTATCGTGGTCAGAATAGACTATGGCAAGCCGTTTTGATATTTATTATTTTTACTGAATATGTATTCCTGACAACGGAAAAAATTTTGCAAAAACAAACAAAATGACATTCATCACATCTAGAATAAACATTCTGGTAGTCTAGAAATTAATCTCAGATCTCCATATTCCAAATGTTATTTTGTGAGTAATTTATTATTTTGGCTATGAGGAAATGTATTTCAAATATCATAAATACATATCCAATCAAGCTGATAAATGTCAGAATGGCCACTTAAAATGTGTAAATATTTCTATGTATATAAAACTTAATTTGTACTAGTATAATGTTTTTTCTATTTTCTGAAATTCAGTTTCTGCTGCAAAAATGTAATTTAGTAAATATCACAGTTCAGTCTAGGAGTGTGATCAGTAAGAATCCTATTTTAATGATCTACAAATGAAACAACAGAGAGGAGGGTGCTTTTAATAAATGTTAAAACGACCTGCCGTAGTCAACTTCATATAAACATATGCATTAACTTAAGACACAATCTTCTCCTTCGCCTTATTCCTCTCCTTTGTTGCTGTAGCAAAGTTTCTTAGTCTTTTAAACACATTCTGTTGTCATTTCATCTGTGCAATATTGCAAAAATTTAAAATATCCTGTCCATGTTTGATGCTGAGAAACTAGTCGTTCGTTCAAGGCTTGACTACTGTAATTCTTTACTATCAGGAAGTCCACAAACTGTAGTTAAAAGCCTTCAGCTGATCCAAAACGCTGCAGCCAGAGTCCTGATGAAAATTAAAAAGAGAGATCATATCTCTCCTATCCTAGCTTCTCTTCATTGGCTTCCTGTTAAATCAATACAATTTAAAATCCTCCTTCTCACATATTCACACATTTAAATGCCCACGCTCCATCTTATATCAGAGATATGATTGTTTCTTATGTTCCTTACAGAGCCCTTCGCTCTCAATCTGCAGGTTTACTAGTGGTTCCTAGAATTTCTAAAAATAGAATGGGATCTTTTAGTTATCAGGCTCCTCTCCTGTGGAACCAACTACCAGTTTTAGTCCGTGAGGCAGACACCCTGTCTACTTTTAAGACTAGGCTTAAAACTTTCCTTTTTGATAAAGCTTATAGTTAGGGTGGCTCAGGTTATTCTGAGCTATCTCTATAGTTATGCCTGCTGGAGGACATAGAGACTCCTATTTCACCATTTTGCTTCATTCTATCTCTATTCTCCCACTCTGCAGAATCTGTTAGTTCAATCTCTAACGTTATGTTCTCTCTGCCTTTTCTCTTAGTAGCTTCATCTGGTCTGTTCCTGTTTGGCTGTGACTCCATCCTGGAGTGAAATATCAGCTGTGCTGCTGCCATCAACACCTTCGTTTATAGATGTTTGAGATCTGCCTGTTTTTCAGTGTAGTCCTGTTTCTCTGACTGTGACTGGCTTGATGTTCTCTTCATTCTCTGACATGGGAGCTGGCTCGGAGCACGTCTGCTTAGCTGTGTGTTTCCTGGATGGGGCCGCCTTTTTACAGTTGCTTTTTGTATCTCTGCTTCTGTCTCCTTGAACCCCAGTCGGCCTCAGCAGATGGCCGGTCATACTGAGCCTGATTCTGCTGGAGGTTTCTTCTTGTTAAAAGGGAGTTTTTCCTCTCCACTGTCACTACAAGCATGGTTAGTGTGAGGGATTGCTGAAGAGTCAATAAGTCGATGTAATCAACTGGTTTTCCTTAGATAGAAAACTTTGAACCAATTTCACTGTATGATCTGGTGAACTTTATAGTGCCATGAGATGACATGTTTTGAATTAGAAATAAACTTAACTGAATGGAATTTTACATTTTTTTTAATTTCTTCATTAAAATCACTAGTTCCAGTCGGATGAAATAGGCACTTCCTGCTGTCTGTTGTCATGGTGACCTGTTGAATCGGGGCTCCATTTATAATGGCTTTTCATTCTTGTTACGCACATGTTAAACTCGTAGTTGACCTACTTAGAGTTGATCGAACTAATTCACAGCAGCCGTTGTGAAACCCGAAAACTCAGAGTTCCCGACTTTAGGGTTGATCAATTTAGAGTTATGGATTGGAATCAGAGTTTGTTAAACCGGCTTAGTGAAACAGACCCCAGGCCTTGTCTAATTTTCCCCACAAAATAAGTTATATGATTATAGTTAAGTTAAAATATATTTATATAGTTAAGTTCAATATGTATGTATGATTTGTGCTAACATAATATTGGATCGATATTTGTATGACAATACTTCAAGCTGCAGGATCAGTATCGTATTGAAAAGAAAACATAACATTTTGTATCCTTCCTTTTTATAGCATGAACAGGTGCGTTATTTCCATACTTACCGTTTTACTTGCTTTGTGAAATTCTTAACTAGATTTGGTTATAGGAAGGTATGAACTACTTATTAATTTGTAAAGCATGTAAACGTGATGAGTAAATTGTGGTATGCAGGGGAATAAAGCTAGGCTAAAACTGTTTGAGACTGAAAAGATTCATAGAAGAAATTTTTGGGTCTTATCTGTCCGTCTAGTTTATTGACCCTGACCAGCAGATTTTGCATTTTAAAAAGATTATTTTTTTTTTTTTACACATTTGTTTAGGAAAATACAATACTTATGCTATGTAAGATTTGTCTGTACAAGACTGAAAAACAAACTGTGGGCAATA